GTCCCTTTTTTTTTTTTTTTTTTTTTTTTTTTTTTTTTCGAGGGGAAGATGTATAAAGAAAGTTTTATTGAGGGCCCACTCTACCCGCTCTTGTAAAACTTGCCCAGGATGGACAGGGAGCCATCTGGCATGAAGTGGCGGTTGCGCTGGCTGCCGTAGGAGTCAGGTGCACTCGCAAAGGTGCCGAAGGGGCTGATTCGCTCGATGTAGGTCTGGTTCAGCATCCAGTTGGTAGCTGCGAAGTGGAAATTTCTAGCAGCGTCGATGGATGGTCCACCGTCGTTGGTGTTGAGACCACTGAAAAAGTTCAAAACGCATGAATTCAACACTCTAATCTCTCATTTCTGCGGCGATTGGCGGACGAGACGACTCACTATTCGGTGATCCAGATGGGCTTGTTGTACTTGCGCGCCTTTTGCACGTAAGCTTGCAGATTGGCAAGAGGGTTCTTTTGCGCGGAGCCGTACCAGTGGATGGCGATAAAGTCGACATCACCGCCTTTTTGTTTGAGCGCGGCAAAAAATTTGTCAAGCCAGTTGAAGTCCCACACGATCTGGGGGCTGGATACCCGAATTCCGGTCTTCTGAAAGGGTGCCAATTCATTCATCCACAATGTGGCAGCAGCGGTAGCATCTGGCAGATTAGATTGACCAGAGACGTCCGGCTCGTTGAATGCGAGGATGGCTTGAGGTTTTGTTGCCCTCAAACTGATCTCTTTCTTGCGCAAGTTCCACTTGTCAGTCTTGGAGGGACCCCAAAAGCACGGTACCCATTCGATGTTGGGCACTTCGGTCAGCGGTCCGTCCTGCGAGGCACAGCCGCAAACGAAAGTGAATAGGTTGCTACTGGAACTAACTTATGCATGCTCTTCGCTCACCTCCCAGTGCCAGACCCAGTCAAGTCGAGATCTGTCTCCCAAGCTGGTGCCGAAGATGCGTGGAGACCAGCGGCTATCTGCCGCCCATGCCAATCCTAGCCTAGCAGCTTGGGCGGTGGGTGCGAGGGATGAAGCAGCTGCAGCCGCAGCGAAGGCGAAAAAGAGGTTGAGCAATTTCATTGCGCAGAAGCGTGCTAGCAGAGAAGTGCGAGATTGACGGCGGTGATCCGCGGTGAGCTGCGGTCTGATTAGATGTTGGGTTGTGCTTGCGTGAGAGTGGCTTAGCCGTGGATATTGAGCTTGCAATAGGGTTGTGCGGGTTGACGGTACTCCGAGATGGACATGTCTCAGACGCTCTTTATACTTTTCACATACGGTCCGAGGGACGAGCTGCGTCCATCGCGGAACGCACTGCTGGAACACCAACGGTGATGTGTGTGTGCTGTGTCTGCCCTGGCGTGCCTTGCGCGCGACATAGCATTCACTCGCTGCGATGCTAGTCGTGAGTTGCGTTGCGCGTCATTCGAGAGGCCTTTCTTGCTCCATGAGGCAGGCAAAGCCAGCCAAGCATCTTGGCTTCCGACACCCCCTCTGTTCAGTGTCGAGCCTGGAAGGCGGCGAGGTGGACGGAACGGGGAAATGGACTGACCGAGCAGTCCGAGCGGAGCTTCATCATGAACGGGAAGCTGAGTCCAAATGGCAGACCTCGGGATGGCTGACGTCTTGCAGCCGAGGCTCAGAAGGGGGCTTCCCGATGGATCGAGAGCGCTGTAATGCCCCACCACCCGCAATTGTTCTCAATTCTGCAAATCTTCGGGACCGATTTTGCTGTTGGAGAAGCACATCAGAGTTCAATTCGAATCTTGAGTGTAGGCAGAACGTGAGACATGGTTTCGAGCTCTGCGCGCTCAGCAAAACGAGACGCGCCATGCAAGACGGCGGCTGTACTCACACTCTGCCTGGAACGGGAAGGATACGCGCGTCAAGCCACAATCTTATAAACGCGGAAAGCTCGACTTGCAGCATCAAAACGTGCGTTGCGTCGCGTTGCGTTTTTCTAGCCCTTTGAGGTCAGGGACGGGTCCCTGGATTTGCGGAGTCTCAAACATCGCAGCAAAGATCGTTCAATCACGCTTCTACCCGCGGAGCTGCTGTGCCTGTGCCTGTGCCTGATCATCAAAAAAGGCCATTATTATGCCTGATTCAGAACTCAAGACTCACCACTGCTGATGTGCGTGTCTGACCTTGTTCGCACTACATCTAAGCACGACGACGTCCAGCATTGCCGCCTTCTCACCAAATCACGCCAGAACGTGGCGGCGCTCGTGGAATCGTGATCATTGAGTGATTGCGATTGACGGGATCGCTGTGTTGCATTGATTGCATTGGACAAGATTGCTGGTCGAAATAAGCAGGGTGTGCGCCACATCAGCATCCGCAACACATCTTCAACATGAACACGTTCCAATGCTCGACATCTACCACTACTCTCACTCGAACAAACTCTGCCAGCGTGTATGTCTGCGAGGACTCGCACTTTTGATTGTTGGGCGCGAAGAGCCGACGCTCAAATAGGAAAGATGTTCGACACCATTCCGCGCCTTTCCGTGCCGAGCTGATGACGTTGTTCCTGGATCCATGTACCATAGACCGACCTGCCCAATGGGGACTTGAACCTCTTGGCTTTGCGAACATGGAGGGCAGCAGGAGCTTCGCGAGAGCATCGGAGAAACGCACAATCAAAGAAATTGCGACGAGGCGGAGTTTAGAGTGCAGCCAGGAGAGGAAAGATCTTCGATTGGGAGGAGATCAAAACGTGCCGAAGTCGGTGCCGGGCATGCCCATTCCTGCCTGCTGTGCCACTTTACCGGCTGCTACCGGATATACCGTCCTCCCTTGCGAGCTTCGTCCCTTGGGCTCGCCCCTTGGCAAGCGACCCAAGCGGCAAGAGGCACGTGTGTGCGAACCGCGCAAACATGGGCTCGGCGACCTCGTCAACGGTTCTTTTCGCACAGTCATTCACGATTTTGCAGCCTGCTGCCTTCTGGCTTCATGTTGACCCTTAGATATCGCGCACGCACGCGAATGGCGTGCTATTCGCACCGCTGATGAGGGACGAGGCGAACCACGCGCCTGATTTGTGCGCTCATTATGGCATGCAGAGACCAGCCAGCTCAGGGCTCAAAGAGCGGGACGCGCGGGACCGGTCAATCGGGAACGAGACGGGAACACTAGCGTTGATCTGCAGGGACGTCCCTCCCCACAAAGCCGTACATAGAGCAAAATCAACGCTCTGGAACATGGAAACTATGGATCCCAGGAAGATCGCCTCTGAGCGATTGTCGTATGAATGTTGTGATTCAGCATGCTTCCCGTGCTTGTGCTCCCCTGGTACAGCTTTGCGAAAGGGATGGTGCAAGTAGTCACAGGCTTCTCATAGTAAAGCGGATCTTTTGCAGCCAGTCGCATGGGAAAATGATCGCGTGGAGATGTTTTTAAACGTCCACGGACAAACGCTTGGTTGCCTCAACGAGGGTCGACGAAGCAAAGCAGACTTGCCACAAGAGGTATCACTTGACTCGAGCGATACGCGCGTGATCGAAATGGACAGATACAAGCCGCAGCATCCGTGTAATCGTATGATGGACCAGTGCGTAGTCTGCGACATCCATCACTCTTCCTCATCTTCGCTGTCAGCTACGACCCTCCTGCGAGAGCGCTCCTTGGCCACATCCCCAGCAGTGTCACCATTCTGTGTGGATGCAGTCAGCTGCTGGGCATCTGCTTCAGCTTTGCGCAAAGCCGCGTCCTCCTGAAGTAGTAAATCAATTGGAGGCAGAAAGGTCAATGAGGTCTTGTGGCCCTTGCGCCCGGGAGCGAGAGTGGATCCGTGCAACTCACGATACTTTTCTCAGCCCTTTCAAGGTCGTCTGGCTCATCGTCCACGTCCATGTCGTCCTGCGCCGACTTTTCGGAAGATGGCGAGCCCTTGTCGGACACGATGAAACCCTGCAGTACGAGACATCGAGCCACGAGTGTGTTTAGCTCAGCTGCGCCCGTCAATTTATTATAGCACGTGTGGATACCCGTCAGTCACAGACACTCACGTCATCGCCTTCTACATCCCCGCTGAGCGCAGCTTCTTCCTCTTCGTCAGAGGCGTAAGTCGCTCCTTGATCGTAATCGGCTCCAGCTCTGCCAAGCCTTCTTCTGCCTGCTCGCGAGTCCCAAAATTCTTCATCTGCGGCTCCCAAGCCATTCAGACCAGCATTCTGTCTTCTCTTCTTAGCAGCCTTTAGGCTTTCCAACCTCTTTTGCTTCTCGAGAGCAGCCTTCTCTTCCTCTGGGTCTTTGGCCCTCGTGTCGAAAGCCATTTGGGTCACTCTCGCACCTCGTGAATGCTTGACTGCTCGAGCTAGACGCCTGTGGGTCTCTGATTGGGTGTCTGTCGGTCTGAGAACCATGGATCCTGCGATGGGGCCTTCCGAAGCTTCGATGTCATCGCTGTGATGAACGAAGAGGTATGTCGACGGAGCGGTACTGGTAGAGTATCTTGCGGCTGATCCATCTGTTCCGCGCTGACTGGCTTGGGCACTAGGACCTTCCGCTTGCGGCCTGGATTGCACGTTCGCTTCGCGTGGCGCTCCACGTGTGCCTGGCTCGGGTATCTGAGTAATGTCGTACAGCTCGTCGCCCAGCTGAAAGGATAATGTTCCATCGCTCCATCGTACCACTCGTGTGTTCGATTGTCGCAGCTATGAGCACAAGATGACGCAGTGTCAGTGTCGGTACATCAACCATGGCCGGGGGTTAGTTTTGCAGATCGCGCTGCTAGCAGCTACTTACCCTTTTGCCGCTTTCGTTGATGTCTTTCTCTGGTGCCCATCTCCACCGCATGGTGCAAGTGCTCGCTACTGTCGCCCTAAGACCAGGATCCTGGATCCGAGCAATTTGTTCCCTCGTCCTCATGATTTCCGCTTCATCACTGCTCATATCGAAGGTCTTCGTATCAAAGGGCGTTGTCTGAAAGCCCACAAAATTTGGTAATTTGGTGATCCAGTGTGGCGCACCTCTGCGGACAGGAAGGGATGGCAGGGAGAAATCGGCATGCTGCTCCATCTCCGCTTCTGCTTGAGCTTCCGCATCTTCTTGGGTCATCCCAGTACCCATGGGAGCATCGTCTTCCAAGTGCTCCAGCCTTCTTTTGGAGGCCGCGGCTTCTTCATCGTCCTTTGAGATGAAGGAGGCTGAACGAGCGGGGGAGGGTGAAGCAGCGCTGGGAGGAGAACCTCATACAATGTGAGAAATGCACAAGCCAAGCTTAGCTGGCCTAACCACGCATACACGCAGATCCTTCACTTACGCCGTTCTTCGCCTGCCAGTCTGCCTTACTACGGCATCGTCATCATCGTCCGTATCGCCGACAGCTACCGCTTTGACGGCCTGTTCAGCACCAACATCCTCGACGTTCTCATCATCATCCCCGAACAGATCTCCGTCGTCGTCGTCATCATCTGCATCTTCTTGTTCGCCTTGAGGCTTCTCAGCTTGCTGCTCCTCGTCATCGCTTCTAGACTGTACCAGCTCGACAGGCAACTCTTCTTCTTTTTCGGCCGATGTGGCACCTTCCCCGTTCCTGATCGGGTGTGCAGATGGAGGTGTTCCCGATTGGTGCAGCGGCGAGTCCTGATCGTCCGGCAGCAGACTGTTAGCAGCAGCTCTCACCTCAGGCGGTGCTTCTGTCCCTGCAGATGACGCTTCAGATGAGAGCGCTTCCCGAGCTGCTGGGTCGGCTTCCATATTGTCGGCCACAGCAGGATCGGCAGTTGCGTCCACCTCCATGGCTTCCGACTCCAACCTTTCCGTCGCTAGCCTGTTCGACTCCGACATCTTAGGCCAGGTGTGCTCGAACTCGAGCCGGGGTGCGTGACGGAAGCGTCGCACGACCCAAAGTTGAGCGAAGAGAAGGCGCTAGGCGTTTCAGTGCCTGTCGAAGAGTCAGTCGCTGCTTGCACGACGGGTCAGGAGTCAAGAGTCGTGAGTGGTGGGTGGCTCTCTTCACGAAGTGATCGCGCGAGATCGCGCGTGGACCAGGAGGAGAGCAACTACCACTTCAGTCACGTGATCACAAGTGGGCGGCAACTTTGAACCGCACTGACCCCTCTGGATTCAAAATTGGCACACGGCACAGCACCTTCCGGGCGGTGCTGTTGACGCACTCATCAGAACTCACACACATTCGTGACTGTGGTGACTTGAGACTGCTGTGTGTATACCTACAACGCCAGTGTGATCACGATTCGCGACTTGAGTTGCAACGTTCAGGATCAAGGCGCAGGTCTCATCCAACACTCGCTGCTCCTCTGACCTCAACGTTCTCTGCCCCCATTCACCAAAGGAACCGGCCTCGGGCACGACGCGCGATTCGCAAGCGAGCTTCCTCTGCGAGCTTGCGACTAGTGCCTGCCTCACGTCAGCTCTTCGTCCTCATATTGTGGTCTTCGAGCACAGACATTCGTGTATCTTGGCTCGCAACGTCGCACCGTTACCTCGATTCTGCCGAGCCTCGTGCGTTCACTACCTCACGACCTTTCTGGCGAAAGGGGAGTCCGTTTCACGAGGGTTAATCGTATCACTGCTTCCTTGTCCACTTGACCCAACGGAATATCGCCCAAACTCCACATCCGGGCTCACTCGCACACACAAAGGCAAAGCGGACAGTGCACTGTATCTGTGGGCGCCACGATGGCAAACCAAACCTCCAATATGAGGGGCCTGACCTCGTTCATTGCGGATCTCAGAGCGTGCAGGGTCCGAGAACTAGAGGAGAAGAGGATTAACAAAGAGATGGCCCATATTCGTCAGAAGTTCAAAGGTGAGCAGATGTATGCGCTGCCACTACGAAGAGATGGTGGGGCATAGCTGCGTGCGCAGAAGGAATGATAAAGCTGATACGGCTCATCACTCTCAATATCGTTGACGACCTCGAAAAGAGGGCGCGCTCGACGGCTACTCCCGCAAAAAGTACCTGGCCAAAATTCTCTTCACATCCATCCTGGGCTACAATGTCGACATTGGACACATGGAAGCCATCAATCTCATCTCCTCTCCCAAATACTCCGAAAAGCAGATTGGCTACTTGGCCATCACGCTGCTCATGCACGAGAACTCGGATCTGATCAGGCTGGTTGTCAACTCTATCAGAAAGGACCTGGATGATCTCAACGAGATCAACAATTGCTTGGCGTTGCATGCTATCGCGAACATCGGCGGCAAGGAGATGACGGAAGCGCTGGCTGATGATGTTCATCGGCTACTGATATCCCCGTGAGCTCGCATCTTGCGCCAGCGCCCGCGCGTGAGCCGCGCCGCTCTGCTGACCACGCTGCTCGCTTTGTCGACTGTTGATATGTAGCACGTCGAAGAGCTTCGTGCGGAAAAAGGCAGCTCTGACGCTGCTGAGACTGTACAGAAAGCATCCGGAGGTCATGCCCGCGGAAGAGTGGGCGTCTCGCATTGTGGCGATCATGGACAATGAGAATCTGGGTGTTGCCCTCGCAGTCACATCCCTCGTGATGACGTTGGCTCAAGACCATCCCGAAGCGTACACGATTTCGTACGCCAAGGCTGTAGATCGGCTGCACAAGATCGTCGTGGAAGAGGACTACACCAACGAATACGTATACTACAAGGTCCCTATTCCATGGCTGCAGATCAAGTGCCTGAGGTTACTGCAGTACTACCCGCCCTCTGATGATCCAACACTCCGCAAGACCATCAACCAAGTCCTCGAAACCATCTTGGACAATTCTCAAGAGACGCCAAAGAACGTGCAGCACAACAATGCGCAGAATGCGGTGTTGTTTGAAGCGATCAACCTGGCCATTCACGTTGATACAGAATCAGCAGTCGTATCCAAAGCGAGCGTACTACTTGGCAGGTTCATCCTCTCGCGAGAAACTAATGTGCGGTACCTGGGCCTGGATACCATGGCGCACTTGGCAGCGTGCGCGGAAAGCCTGGAACCTATCAAGATGCATCAAGAGACCATCATATTGTCCCTGAAGGACAAGGATATCAGCGTCCGACGGAGAGGTTTGGATCTACTGTATAGCATGTGTGACGTGACCAACGCTAGGGTCATCGTTGCTGAGCTGCTGAGGTATCTGCAGGTGGCGGACTACGCGCTTAGGGAGGAGATGGTGCTGAAGATCGCCATCTTGACCGAGAAGGTGAGCAGCGCGCGAGGCGGGCGTGCGTAGAATTGAGACACGCAGCTGATGTGATGCGCACCCTCCATGCGTAGTTTGCGACGGAGTACTCTTGGTACGTGGACACAAGTGAGTTGGGAAAGCAGCAAAGACTCTTGATTTGGCTTGGACCCTTCTGATAGGCCGCTGAACATGCTTGGAACGCCACAGTCCTCCAATTGATCAGTTCTGCTGGCGATCACGTGGGAGAGGAGGTATGGTTCAGAGTGATACAAATCGTCACGAACAACGAAGACGTCCAGGAGTACGCCGCCAAGCAGGTCTTCGAGTTGCTGAAGTCGCCCTCGTGCCACGAGAGCCTCGTCAAAGTGGGAGGTGGGTACTGGCTAAATTGAAGGGATGAAGGGATGTGTCGAGAGCTGACGTGATGTGTCAAACGCTGACTTTGGACTGATTGGCAGGCTACGTGCTTGGAGAGTTCGGCCACTTGATCGCCAATGATGACGGCTCTTCTCCAATCGAGCAATTTCACGCGCTCCACTCGCGCTCGCACCTCTGCTCTCAGCCGACCAGAGCCATCTTGCTATCGACCTATGTCAAGTGGCTCAACATCTTTCCAGAGATTAGGGAACAAGTGATGTATGTCCTCAATCGCTACAGGCACGTCTTGGATGCAGAGCTGCAGCAGCGAGCCTGCGAATACGTGGCGTTGGCACAGATGGAGAATGACGACCTGCTCCAAGCCGTGTGCGAGGAGATGCCACCTTTCGCGGAAAAGTCGTGTGAGCAGAAATCGCTGTCCAGTGGGCTGCTGCTAGGTTGCTGACAGGTCCGGTTCTTCTGGTACGCTCGCAGCGCTACTACTGACACGTCTGCAGCGCAAGCATGGTGACACGGGAGATAAGCGGACTTGGATCATCGGAGGCAAGGAAGTAAATCGAGAGCGCGAGCAAGCTCGAGAAGCGAGCAAGCAAAAGGGTCTCGCGAACGGCGGGGCCATGCCGACAGGGCCAGCGACGACGATCATTCCAAGCAACGCCAGACCCGATCTTGTTACTGCAGGGGCCAACGAGAACCACGCCACCTACAATGGTGGTTCAGGAGGGCAGGATGATATTTTGGCTGGTTTGCAAGGATTAGACTTGAGTAGTGGCAACACCGCCCTCATCTCTGCTGGCAGCAACAGTGAAGCAGCCAGCAACCCTGTGGCAGCTGGTCAACCACTCTTGAGCATTGGAACAAACGGACGCCTCTCTTCTGCAGGCGTTGTGGACTCACCAACGACAGCATCTCCCATCACTCCACGAACACCCTCATCCGCCACCGCGAATAAATCCCTTGCAGCTCAGCAGACGACGGTCACCGCGGCTCCATCCTTGACACCAGGTTGGAGCAAGAACTTCAACAGGCTGTGCTTCGTCAACGAAGGCGTGCTCTTTGAAGATCACTCGCTGCAGATTGGTATCAAGAGCACTTACACAGGGTCGAGTGGCAAGATCTCGCTGTTCTTTGGCAACAAGCTTTCTGTGGGCTTCTCTTCGCTCACCGTGGTCATCCGCTCTCAGCAACCGGAAGCTTTGAGCGTCGTGGCCCCTAAATTACCCGCCAACACGCTAGGAGCCGGAACACAAGTGCAACACGACGTCGAGCTGGAATGCCTGGATTTTTTCAGCAAGCCTCCGTTATTGGGGGTGGCATACTTAGCAGGCAGCATGCAAGAAATCCAGCTGCGCTTGCCCTGCATCCTCACCAAGTTTGTGCAGCCCGTGCAGCTGGACTCTACAAACTTCTTCGAGAGGTGGAAACAGATTGGAGCAGCTCCGAGAGAAGCGCAAAAGATCTTTGCATTCAAGTTGACCAGCGCTGGAGAGATTGATGTCAAGCGGAACAAAAAAGTCGTCGCGGGGGCGAATGTGGCCGTTTTGGAGAATATCGATCCGAACCCTAGTAACATCGTCGCGGCCGGCGTGCTCCACATGGCTCATGCAGGAAAGGTGGGCTGTTTGCTCAGATCTGAACCAAACAAGGAAGCAAAGGTGAGGAGTGGGATGCGCGTGCTAGATGGTATTCAGAGCTAGAGCTCGACGCTGACCGATGCTCGACACTCCGATAGCTTTGCCGTCTGACGATTAGGACCACCAATGATATTGTCTCTGCAGAGCTGCTGAGGCTGTTCACTGCTGTGCTTGCCATCGACGCGCAAGACATCTGATGACACTTCGAGACGGACACTCGCCTTCTACACGTCCCTGGTCTCGGCGCTCACTTGCTCATCCTACACGCCCACCGACTCCTTGCAATTGATCTGAATATGTATAATGCGATGTCCGTTCTGCGACCGGGTGAATAATGATACATGGACAACCCCAAGCTGCCAAGGCGCAGGTGGGATGCGTGCGCAAGCACTCGTGCACGATGCTCCGGGTTCAAGAGTGGATTCGCATCGCAAGGCATCAAAGCACAGCGACTTTTCAGGCCTCGAGCGCACCGATGAGTTCCCTCACTCCCACGACTTTTCCGCACTCTGTGCACGTCCTCTCTTGGTCGCTAGACGAAGCCCAAGCTTGAATGACGGGCTTGAGCTGGGTGCCTAGATCCGTGCAGAGGAAGCGAGATTCCTTGACGATGTGAGGCGAAGGATGAGCGGAGATGTTTGGACAGTACCACCTCATTGCGTCTTTTGTCGAAGGGGAGGTCCAGAAATTATCGTTCAGTGGTGCACGCAGATGCGAAGAGCGCGGTCATGGGGGGAGCAGGCAACTTTGATGCGTGCGGGCAGCTCAGCTCACCTTCGAGGGCTTCCGGTCTTGTACGCTCCACGACCAGACCAATGGTGTTTGCGAAGCGCACGGGAGAGTGCGGCGTGTTTGCTGCCAGTGAGAAGAGGAGTGTCCAGCATGCATGAGCGAGTTTGCGGCCTTTAAAAGTGGCTCCATTCGCACTCCCGTTCGTTGGGCGCGCGGGCGCGACTCACCAGGAAGCATAAACATTTCTCCCTCTGCGATCCTCACATCCTTGAACATGCCATCCTCTACAATCTTCAGCAACATGGCTCCCTTGTACTGATAAAAGAACTCCTCGGTAGGCTGATAATGATAATCTGATCTAGCATTTGGTCCTCCCACTGCCATCACGGTGTAGTCTTGAGACTTGTACAGACAAAAATTCCCCACGGGAGGGGCTAGCAGGTGCTCATTCTCTGAAATCCACTTGGGAAAGTTGAGCGGAGCGGGTACCATGGTCGAGGGGTGTGTGTTGGATGAGAGCAGTCAAGGATGGCTGAAACTGCAGGGAGAGTCGTGAGTGGCGGGTGTGGCACCGAGCCAGAGGATGCAGGGAAATGCTGTACACTGAGGGACGTGGGGTGGAATGGAAGAAAGTGATTCTGAAACAACTCGCAGGCACGGATGAAATGGCACAAAGTAGCTGCTGCACCCTCTGTCAGCTCACCCTTCCTCTTCCACCCTCTTCGTTTTGTAAAACCCGCGCCTGATCTCCACATTCACGACTCTGATTCATCTGATTCGCTCATCGTCGCGGCAGCACCAGGTCGATATACGGCCGATCGGCCCTTGTGGGTGTCGGACGAGGATTCACTTAAATCACGGCATCACGTGAACCCTGCAGCGGGACGGCGGCAAGGTCGGTCGGCCGCGGTGACCGCGGAGTATGTAAGCAAGGAGTCATGCCTACCTCAGACATGCTCCCACGTGGCTCCAGACGTTCAGAATCTTGAATTTAGGCTTGTCGAAATCACCAACAAGTCTCTCGCCATTCATCATGCGTGCACGACTTGCGACTCACGACTACTGCTTCAACTCTCGGCAGGGGCGTTTGGTGCCCAGCAATACAAACGACTCGTAAAGAGTCTTGCACTCACGCTCCGAAGCGTCCTCAGACAATCCTCATAATCGACTGGCCTCTCTGTGCCGTGACTCTCAACCTGGCCAGAGTGTAAACCGTGCTTCTTCTACCACGACCAAGTCGCGAGCGCTTCTTGATCTTGCACCCGCAGGCACCTTCCATCAGACGCGCAAGCGCAGTGTAGTCGGCCATGACGACCTCAGCCAATCGAACGAGGGCCATCTCCCTCTACCGCGGAGTGCTGCAAGCAGCTCGTCAAACCTTTATGGGTGATCAAGCGACAAATCAAGCATGGAGATCGCACATGAGAACACACTTTCGATCCGCAAAGGAAGAACAGGATGCGGAAAAGCTGGAAATGTTTTTCAAAGAGGCGGAAGATATCGTCAGAGTTCTGAAGAGCAATGTGGTGCAGGGCGCTTGGAGGGATGAAAGCCAGGCTTACCGTGAGCGTCTTGCAGATGCGTGTGATCCGTGAGGCTGGGGGATGCGAGCATGTATGCTGATGCCGCGACCCTGTCTCTTCCCAATCAGGGCTGCGCATGACTTCGGACACCGAGTTGGGATCTTACGAAGCGACCAAAGCGGGAAGAGAAGCTCAACTGGAGGCGCTGCGAGCGGCCAAGGGTACCATGGACACAGCCCAGAAGTGCTCAAGCTCAGCATCGTCCAGCAACTCCTCTCGCACTTCTCGTCGACCCTTTTCCACCTCTTGCTCCTCCCCTTTGCGTGCCCCACTAACCTCCACCGCAACATCATCCTTCCCTCGAGCATTTTCGACATCTTCGAGAGCTCTCGAACTGCCTTACAAAAAGGGATCCACTCCACCTCTTCCTCGACCCGTGCCCAAATTCCCATCTACCATCATCCTCTCTGACGGATCCTCTATCCGTCTGACCACCACCTCTCCACGTTCTCTGCAACGTCTAACTCGGGATCCGACCAATCATCCATTGTGGAATCCCAGCATGGAAAGAAGGGGAGGTGCGGGCGACGAAGACGAGAGCGGTCGTCTGAGCAGGTTCAGAAAGAGGTTTCAAAATTTGGATCAGGCGACGCCTCAGGCAAGCGCTGGCGCTGGTGCTGGTGCTGGTGCCGAAGCTGGAGCTACGGCGCCGGCGCCGGCTCGCAAAAGTCAACAGTGGGACCAGAGCGATCTGGAATGGATGAGCGGCGGCAGAGAGGCCAGAGCGGGATCTGCAGTCGTGGAGAAAAGGACAAAGGGCAAAAAGTGAAAGAGGCGAACATGCTGCAGTCCGAATTTGTTTGACAGGCTTGCCTCGCTGCACATGCACGTGCACCTTCACAATGAACATGCTTGCTGTACTCGGCCAGTTCAATAGCATGCTAGGGATGCCTAGATCAGATTGGAGCCCGGTGGGCACTTCTCAGCCGCACCACCGCGATAGATGCTCACATCGTCTTCGGTCTTTGCACGGGCGAGGTAAGATTCATGTATGTCTGTTGCAGGAATGACAATTTGTCAAAAAAAGAAAGAAAGGAAAAGAAAACGCGTCGCAGCAACGACACGTGGCCAAGATGTGGGGGCGCCGTCTATGCCTGAGAGGAGGTTCAGATGGAAATGCGACTTTGGTTTTGAATAGCAGACAGAAGTGTCGATGCGCGCAACAGTCCGCTCAGACCTTTTGATGTCCAGCGCAAAGCTCAACGGCAGCAGCAGCAAGCAGGGGGTGGCACAGCATCACTTCTCATCCTTGTCATCCCCGCCCTCTTCCTTCTTCTTGCTCTCTTCCTCCTTCTTTTTCTTCTCTTCCTCTTTCTTCTTCTTTTCCTCTTCTTCCTTCTGCTTCCGCTCCTCTTCCTCTCTCTTGGGGTTTCGAATCTAGAAAGGGAGAGAGTGCCCAGCAAAAGACGATGAGCTCATCGCTACTCATGCTGCAGCCATCACACACGGTCCGCGCACCTTTACGTATCCATCGTCGCCCTCGTCAGCGCTCTCAGCTTGCACATCACCCGACACTTTGCCCTGGAATTGCGGTCCCGAAAGGTCTCCTCCGGCCTTCTTCTCCACCAGCTTGGGCACCTCTTTTCCTTGGGCCTCCACCAACTTCTTTAACTTTTCACCAGCTCCCTTAGAAGATGTGGCGGATTTGTCTACGTTGTAGTAGTTCTATCGTCGGTACAAACCAGTCCACAAAGTCAGTCAAATGATCGCGACATGTTTGCCGACTTTTGACCGATCAGGGAGTAGCACCACTCACAGTGCCTGCCAGAGTGGCAATGATGCTCGTACCGACAGCAGCAGTGAGCCAAAAACTGCACACGAGGAATTTGACAGCAAGGTCTACTCGTGAGCTGCGTAGGCCCCCTTTTCCACTTTTCCACTTTTCCACTTTTCCACTCCTCTCTTCACTCACCGGTAGGAAGAGTACCACTTGGGTGCCCAACCAGCAGTCGTCGCTCTCAGGTCGATGAACCAGCTAGCGACGTACGCCCCGAACTGCGAGACGAGGGCGAGTTCGGGGCTGAGGGCGAGCGAAGGCCAGCCAATGACCAGCGGTACAATGCCGAGCATGTATCGACGATTTCCAAGCTGACCTCCGTACCTGGCGAAAGCCATGCGCTTCAGCACAAGATGGGCAGCGTTGAATTTGCTTGCACGGCTTGCTCGGTCAAACTCACTTTGAGAATTCAAAGCCCCAATGGATGGCCCCCAGGAAGGACAGAATGATGGCTCCGTAGGAAATTTGAACGTTTTGCGCGTGCAAGAGGAGAGCTGAAGCGGTCTCGTAGTCGATGTGCGTGTCCATGCCGTTCGCTACCAGGTTTGTCTGTCTGGCCAAGTACACACTTGCTCCGGCAGTCGAGATGTAAGGCAGCACACCTGGACGAGGCGGGCGACAAGAGCGTGTCAGCTGTCTTCGGCACGCGTACAATCGGCCTTCGCCTGAAGTCCAGGAGGCGGAATAGCAGAGAGCGAGTGGGCGACTTACCAGCAGCACCCCAGAGAAGCGCTGGTCTTGGCACAGCTTGGAACATTTCTGACGAGACGGAACGCTGATTTTTGCAAAAGGAGAAGGATGCATCAGTACAGCATGTCAGCTCTCGCAGGCACGGCCTTGACTCACAGCATCGCCCATAAGGTCCGCAGCACCACTGGGAGAGCTGTCTGGGCCTTCGTTGGAAGATCCAGCTCCACTGCCCGGACTGCCAGCAACGGCAGCTTCGATGGAGCTCTTCACCTGACCCGCTTCCTCCTTCACATTCTTGACTGTATGCTTCCAATCGTCGGACGCTGGCTTGCCAGACTGAGGGTTGGCAGCTAGTGCCTTGGACGAGGTGCTCAGGATACGGGCAGGTGGGGAGACGCGTGGGAGAGGCAATTGATGAAAGGTGCTTGCTCGAACTGCCCGAGCGCCCGGCCCTCGAATCATCGTTTTGGCTGCGAGAGGAAGCATCTTGAAAGATGCCTCGAGCGATGTCGAGAAAGTACCTACTGCACGTGATTATCCTGGAAGCAGGGCAAACAGCTTGTCGCTCGTAGATCGACAAAAGCTTGGCAAGAAGGTTGCTTCGCAAAGAGACCAGATTGGAGGTACGTGAAGGTGGTGGAGGTGTTGAGGCAGGGATACACACACAGGCGATGCTCTTGTCCACTCTTGACTTGCGAAGCTTCTCAAGCAGCAGGGTAGAGCGAGGGGAGAAGCCGCTATCAGCTTTGATCGCCTTCTTCTCCACACGGCCGTTCAGCTCGCATGTGCATGTGCTGCTTCGTCACGAATGGTGAGCCCCAACACATGAGCAGCGAGCGGCAATCGTGAATCAGAGCGGCGAGAATCAAGTTGTGGATTTGGCGTCACGCATGCGTGCAGCAGGGTAGGGTGCATGTCTGTGGGAAGCCATGCTGTACGGCTCGATCGCTCTGTCACGACGTAGCTGCGTCATCATGCCGTAGCTTCGCGTGCGGCTTGATTTCTTGGTTGGTTGGTGGCATCGCATGCATGCTGGTGGGGTTGGCCGCCCATGCACCAGTCTGCTGAGTCCCTACAGGGTGGATGGATGCCATCACGGGCGCACCATGCTCACATCATATTCACGAATCACGAGAGAATTTTGTGTTCAACGGCAAGCAATCAAGCGATGATCCGACTCTTGCAACGTCAATCCTGAACAAAGGTCACAATCACTGCATCACAATGAAGAAGCTTGATTCGCAAACATGCGATGGCTTGCCCTACACCTTTTCAACAACGCTCGATCACTCGTGAGGATGTATTTGGTGTCTAACGATTCTGGTCGCGACCATCATTCACGTACATGATCGCAGCAGTCAACAGTCTACGAGTCAGGTGTGTCAAGTCAACCTGCCTCGATGGCTTGTCGCCTGCACACCAACTACACGTCATTCACCTCCGTCCATCAAGACCGCGCTCAGCTCCATGCAATCCCGCGCTCTGAGCAATCGAGCTTCGCTCCAGCATTACAAATGAAAGTCGAAATTTCACGTTCGATCAAAAAAGAGTATTCGAGAGCTGGCTTGCGCTTTCAAAGCAATTTTCGCCGCCGTGCAAGCGGGACTCATCATGCGATACTTGATGGAGCGACGTGACGAGGTGGATGCCCCCCAGCAGCACTTTTCTCCCATCTCCGCCATTCACGTTGCAGACTCGAGACTCGTGACACCTTGCTGCACGGCACCGTCGGGCGATTTTGTGCCTTGTGATTGGAACGCATCGAGGCCGCTTGCAAAAATGAAGATTGCGAGCAGTCAGAAAGCAGAGCGCAATCGCTCGTTGACAACTCGTACAGGCTTGCGTTGCAGCAGTGACTAAGCGGGATCGTCCGGAAAAGACCCCCCCTTGGCCTGTCACCTCCGCACGTGGGCTGGCTGGCCTTTGCCACTTTCGCAATAATCAACCAGGGAAGCGGGCGTCGGTGCTGCTTTTTGGATTTCCGGCGCTGCACACAAAGTACACCTTGACTAATTGCACCTGCCGCAGACGCCAAGCTCCATCAGCTGTGGAATGGAGCGAGCTGCTTGGCAGCTGAATTCAAGTGCGTGTATAGCTACAAGTGCTCGAATCTTGCTGTTGTGTGCCCCATAGACTAGGAGAGTCAAAAGTGTGCAGTCGAAAGTAAGGAAACGTGCGCACCCGCTATGCATATTACTGACCAATTCCTCGGCCTCATCATCCGTGACTCGTGACTCGTGGCTTGTGTCTGATTTCTGTATCTTCGAAGTCGTAAGTTCTGGAGGAGCCTTCTTGCCTCCTCTTCTCTGTCTGGAACATTTTTTTCGTTCTGGGAGGACGGCCTTCGTTTTACCCCCGTCGCGCCTGGATGGGTGATCGTGGCAGTGTGCGGGCGAGCATCCTTCGATCATTGCAGCCTAATTGTGCATACACGGCGGGAGAAGCTTGAGGAGGGTCCTGAGGAGGGAGGGAGGACCTTCTCTGCGCCGCTCGCACGCTGCAACAGCCCGAGTCGGCATCAAATTAGCGGCCCTGCGTGCGCACCTATACCTAGCCGAGCATCAGCGCTCTCTCCGACTCGACGAGCCGAGCCATGGGAGCGGCCCCGGGCAGAGTTTGCTCCTCGAATCGCAGAAAAAAATCGCACGCTAGTCCAGCCTCGGATGGAGGAAAGAAAGAAGGCTGCTTCGGCGTATTATCTAGAGAATCGTGAGGATGGTCTGGCGCAGAGAGGCGGTGCTACAGAAGGCTCGCAGCGACGCAGTTGGGAGCGATTTGCTGCGTTCGCAGGACAACAGTCGTGAGTCCACTTTCGCCTCACTCTTCTCTCATCAATACAACATTCGTAGTTCACGATTCACATTGTGGGTACACTGAAAGCCTACTACTCATCACGATCAGTCGTGACGAGTGACCATGTATACAGTACTCAAGTTCGGGAGCGTGAGGACATCGCGCGGGACGCTTCGCAGCAGAGCGGAGAGCGCAAGGCACTACACAGTCACGTACGCGGGTCGGAGTTGGCAGCTGCTGCAGCTGCATGCATGGGACAAGCGGGCCAGCGAGAGTAGGGCAGCTCTATGTTTGCTGCTGGTGGGCGTCCACATCCACGCAATCACCACAGTGACTCGCCCAGCTAGCGGTGCAGTCACAAGTACCAGTGCAGTACCCTACAACGTTCTTGCTCCTCCATACTCCTAACTCGTGACTTGTAGGTATAGCTGCTGCGCTTGTGTGAGGCGACGCGATCCGAGGGTGGCCACATACACACTCCCGACGGGTGTACCGTACACGCTGTAGTCGTGACTTAGGCTTGCCCCACTCACGACTCAGCATCCTAGCTGAGACACGGCTTGGTCTCTCTGGGCGGAGCCCATTCCGTTCGTGTTGATCGGTGGCTGGCCGTTGTCTCACCGTAGACGTGCGGCCCATCCACTCAGAATCAGAGTCCACTCGTGCTTACATATCGGGTCCATCCTACAGCGGGCCAGTCGTGGGTCGTGCACGGACGCTTAATCGTGGCTACGAAAATTGCCGTGGTGTCGTGCCCATCGAGGCGAAATGCAAATCTACCAATCACGAATCATGGCATGGCGGTGACCACACTCACGATCGCGACTTTTCCGCAAGCGTGTGCCGTGCCGTGCCGCACGGTTGGGCCACCCATGATCGAGCGACAGTCACAATCACAACCACAATGTGAATGTGAATCACATGGTGAATATGAGTGAGGCCGTGCATGGGTCTCGGCTCTTCTCCCGTCACTCACGACTCTTTCTTGCTGCATGCTCTTCTCGCTCAAATGCACGCTTCGCATAAACCAAGCTATCGTGTGGCGCCCATGTTCGCAGTCTACCGGTACACTGCACCGAGCATATATAGTCACAGCCTGCTGCTGAGTACTGTACGTCGCTGCTGAAACGCAGAAACGCATGCAGAGACACTCTTCGCCCTTTTGCCCGCTGCTCCGCTCAACGCACACATTCGGTGCTTGCCTTTCAAAATCGGCAACTTGTTCGGCCTCTGCCCATTCGATCGCATTGTCGACAATCTGAATGTCCTTCTGACGGTCGCTCTCGCCATCCCCACCCGAACTTGCTCTGTTACCACTACCTTCTTCTTCGATTCATCTCTGCCAGCTGTCCGCCCTGCCGCAAGTCGCGCCACCAGAAGCAGAGTCACGAGTGCGTCTGCGTCTGCGTCTGCGAGACGAGCCCTCCCCTTCTCGATAGAAGAGAGCGACCGAGTGCAACATGACGTCTATGCTTGGTCACATCCGCAACGCTGCTACCTCGAGAACCAAAGTCAAGGATCACCAGTGCAATGTTGGCTATCCCATCACCGTGCACACGAGCGCTACAGCTGTAGATGTTGGGTGAGTGCTCTAGATCGCGCAACATCCGCAACATCCGACCTTGCCGTCTCGTCGGCAAGTTGAAAGAAGCACGTGGATCAGACTTGGCTCTAACACTTTCTCTGGCTGCTCCGCTTCGACGATAGAAATGTCCGCGATCCTCTACCAGTGGGAGCCTGGGCGCTGCACTTTGGGGCTGGCCACCCCTTGAACGGCAGCGGACCAGTGATACCCGCATCAGAGCAGTACGCGTCTCCATACCAGACGACAAGCAGCGTGTCGGTGGGATCGGTCTCGCGCAGAGCTGAGCTCGTCTCGGCCATCGAAGCTCTGGTAGCCATTAAAGACTTCTACGGCGGAGACGGCGTCCGTGGGGTGTGTGCGCACGTCTACACTGACAGTATTTATGTCGCCAAGCTTTGGGGAGAATGGCTCGAGATGTGGGAGCGCAACGGTTGGCCTGGCGAAGGTGAAGAGCCCGAACCCACAGTTCCGATCCAAGATCGACGGCCCACGGCTCCCGGCTTGAGAGATAGCGGCATTGCGATGAGCAACAGCTCTCACGGTAGTCCAGCCTCGAGAACTTCAAATCTCCCTTCCGTTGGTGGAGCATCGCGAGCAAGATCCTACAGTCGCCAGAGTGCGAAAGGCGTTGGCAGCATCAAGGCGGCATCGTCCATCATGTCTGCCAATTCCGATGTCAGCATTTCGATGAGCTCACCCCATTTGTTCACTGCGAGAGGTAGGCCTTTTGACGAGGACCTCATGCGGGAGCTGGCCGAGCTGAGAGAGTATTTCGGCGAGCTGCAAAGGGGCGGCAAGGGTGGCTGTTATTTTTACGCTGCCTCTCGCGGTGAGAGTCCTGCCTGGAACCTTTCTAGAGAACTGGCTAGGCAGTCTGGAGCAGAAGTCTTGCGTACCGCGGGGCAAAGCAGAAGGAGAAGGCCAACGAGGGGCAGCAATGGCGACAAGCCGCCCAGCATATTGAGCCAGACATCTAGAACAAGCCGAACGAGCAGGAGCGCCCCTGTTTCGAAGAGCGGCATGGTCAACAGCACCTCCTGGAAATCGGACAGCGGCACCGTCCCCGACGTTCCAGCCATTCCAAGCAGACACGCGCAGCGCAGCTCTCGCGTTCCCAATCTACCAGCTTGCGAAGCGTCGCCTACAATGTCCATCCATTCGGATCCCTCTTCGCAGTCTCCTGATGCTTCCCTCTCGGCCACTCACTCGTCCGAGGGCAGGATCACATCCAGCCAATCTAACATTGGCATCGGCGCAGCAGCGCCAATTAGAGGCGCTCTCAAGAACGGAGCGACTCGCAGCTCCAGTGACCTCAGACAGAGCGAGTCCAACGGATCAAGGCAGGACACCAAGAACAGACATGTGGCACGATTCTCAGCAGTGTCGCCTGTTCCAGAGAGCCCCGCTCCTAGAGCCGTCGATCTTCCGGGGGAAATGTCTGCGCAACCTTCAGGCTACCAACCACAAAGGACCGGACCTCGGACTTCGCGGAGGGTATCGCACTACGCTACCAAAGAAGAAGCTAGTAAGGAGCTGGATCGATCATATGTCCGGAGGACGAGCAACAGACTGCCGGAGGCGGCAGAGGCTGCTGGCTGGTCCACGGAGCAGATAGACAGTGATGAGAGCGACATTCGACATTCAGGACCCGAATCGCACGAGGCTAGGCAGCTCAAATCCGAACGGCACTTGAAGCCGGATGATGTTCCCCAAACTGGGAATCAGGAGAGGCAAACGATCGCTCAGCTAGAGAGAGAACCAAAGAAGAAGGGCTTCTTGAGTCGACTCAGATTCAAACTCAAGGCGTGACACTCTGCGAGATGCGCCTGATTTGCCGTGGTGTCCACCACGAGCTGTTCCTCTCTCACCGTACTTCGATGACGCTGCCGTTTCACGCTGCACTGCGACCCGGATCAGAGCGTTCTCGCCCGCTTTCGCACGGGCACTAGCTCCACGAGCACATGCGTGGCATCCATTCTTTCTTCACTTGCCCATTTCTGCCACCGCGTGCCACACGAGTTTTGCAATAACGATTGCTGTCACCGGTCGCGCTCAGCAGCGCTTGAATGCTTCCAGAGAGCTTGTCGCGGCAGAGTTCGAATTTTCGACGCCGTCGGCCACGGCTAGCTTCGACGTGCTGTGAATTCGTGGGCTTGCGAGGAGCTGCAAGCTGTCACCTCACCAAGTCAAGAGTCAAGAGGGTCGGGAGGTATTGTTCGTAGTACGCCAAGGATCACGTGAATGATGGTAGGCAAAAGTTCGGGATGTGTTGCAAAAGGAGCAGGTGAGCAGCGCTATCAATTGCGTGGTGGATCGGACATCATATGGGACTGTCGATAAGCGTGCTTGCTGCGTTCGTGATGGCTCTTCTGCACGTTCATTCGCATTGCGTATTCGTGCATTCCTCTGCTCGACTGTTGCAAGTGAGCCTTGAGCTGAAGTGTGCTTCTGCTTACATATCGTCTGGGCAAGCCTGATCAGATGAGTAGGCAGGAGGAAGTCACAGTGTCGTCTGCATCATCTCATCTCTTGTTGACCCTGTTTGAATTCAGATTCGTGATTGCCAGACGCACGAGCCGTCACGAGGGCGCTGGCTGGCTGCGCGCCAAGCCTTCGCTGTCGAGTGGGCCTACGCAGGGTGCTTCTTTGCCAAGAACGGTATCGCTGAGCAACATCTTTCGACGAGACGGCCAAAATGAGGAGAAGGGAAGGCGCGTGCGGGCGAGTGAGTGAGTGAGGCGCTGGCCAAGACTTTCCCAATTCATGCCCTCCTTCTGTGCTTCTTGCTTTCTAAGCAAAGAAGCAGGGGGGTGCCACAACGATTGTTAATGGTGCGGCTGGGACTTGGACAGCATTTGCTGCCCGGCCTACAACTCTTGACTGGGGAGTGCGACACGGCCGAACTTGACCCATCGTTAGCACGCACGCCCCACTCCAACAGATCCGAACCATTTCTGTCGAGCGACGCTACGAAGTACCACAAAATTGCACGATTGGCACCCCGCCCCCTACTCTATCGGAACTCAGCATAGCCCCATTCACGTGAAGAAGGAAATTTCGTATTGATCCCCGCCCATACAATCTTGAATCAAAATCTCTCTGCGACCCGCATATCAGCTTTACGGTTCGTGCCTGCCGCACTTCGGAGCACCGCCAAACGCACCACGAAGCCGGCCTATTGACCGAGTTGGGAAGATACAGTCAGTGGTATCTTATAGCTCGGCACGCCCTCGCCCTCACGTCAGGCAGCACGGACATTCGTATTGATTCACTTTGACGACTTTCGAAAAAGTCGCATCTCGAAGTTTGTGTGCAGCTTGGGACTTGAGCATTTCGTGTTGGTCAATTCAATCGTCTCGTTACCTGTTCATCCTCTTCGCCTCTCCAAGTCTCCAGTCAAGGGCTCTTAGCTTTCTCGACCTTGACCAAGTCGCAAGGTGATTGTACCAATCACTATGTGAGTGCAGTCTTGGCTACATGTAGGCTGGGCCAGAACCGTCTGCATGACTTGACCGAGGCTTCTTGCTCTGAATGTTCCAGTGAGCACTGCTGAACCCCGTGGTACCAACAAGTAGCTGCACAGAACGGTGCAGGACGATGTCGCAGGGCCATCTTGGGGCTTGGAAGCGAAGTCCACGGGCCAAAGGCATTGACTTCAGTCAACATGGTGAGTGGTGGATGATATTCATGATCTCCATTTACATTCAAATTCACGATTCACGGTTTGTGATATTTGCGATTTCCAATTTGCGATCTTGTCCTGTCGCGTGCTGCACTGGGGCTTCCATTCAAAGGTTTCAAGATTGTGATTGCCAGCCATGCGATGGCTTGCATGAAGCGCATGCGGTGCGCCATCGTCAGAGAGATGGCCATACTCACACTACAGCCTCACCCATGTAAGATTCACTCACATCAGATCTTCTGCTCAGAAGTCTTGAGCCACTTGCACTTGCACTTGCACGGCTTGCACACGCAACGACAAGAGCGACTGGAGGAGCCTCGCGGAGATTGAACTAGCTGCATGCAATTATATAGACCCTGCACAATTCGTCGCATTGCTCCTTCTGCTTTGCACTTGTGCACTTCTTGGCTCGCAGAAGCTTTTGTATGTAACGAGGGGGAGGGCGCACATCACCGGTTGCAGTCACAGTACACACGTTCACTGCAGTGCAGCTTCGTGTGCCAGCATCACCAGCACTGTGACTCTTGATTTGGTGGTACATGCAGACATCAAGGATCTGATCCGCTTTCGCTGTAGCGCGATGCGGGAACCCGTCGCGGTCGCGAGTCGCAAGATCTAAGCACGAATCAGGGTTCGCTCTACGGATGGATGGAGTCACAAGTTACGAGTCACGAGTCTTCTGGGGCCAAGGCGGGCAGTTTGCGTACAGGGAGAACACCAAGCGAGACAGGGGCCGAGCAGCGATCGTCCGGCTGGAATTACTGGTGCGTGTGCCTGTAGAGTCAGAGTAAGTGGTACGTGTGCATTTGCCCATGCATTCATGCATCGACCCGCGCATCACAAGCAGGCTCTATACATTGAGCGCGTGATGATGAGAGCGCGGTGCTGCAAGCGAGCAGCACGTCAACGTCAGCGGAAAGATGCGTGCATGAATCGCGAGTCTTTGCAGACGCGCGCGCGCGCGCGTACTACATCAGCGTTCTTCAGTGATGGCCGCCGCGCTGCTTCTGCCCAGTGATGTGCACCCGTAGGACAGGCATAGAGAAGCGTGGATATGTAATGAGGGGTAAGGGCGGGTGACGTGCTGCAGCGTGCCCGTGGCCATGTACGCTCGTTGTTGAGATCTCAATTTTAAAAGCCGGTCAGTTGGACCACGTCCATCGTGCATGCATGCATGCGCGCGTCTTCTTCATGCAGAGCCATAGGGCGAACGTCGATCGATAGATTCGCCACGAGAGCCCTCTGTTGGGGACTGGTGACTGAAGAAGCAGAAGCAGTCACGCACAGTCGTGACTTGCAGTGGGCTACCCGATCAGCTGCTTGCACTGCGACTGTGACTGCATACATAGCAACAGTCGTGGAGTCGCGAGTGTGAGTGCGAGGCTCGAGTCTTGGGAACTCTCTGATGCATGGCTGCATGGCGAGTATTCGGGCCTGCCGCGCGATCTCCTGCGATAGAGCATCCAAGCAGCAGGAGGTCGGCATGACGCCTCCGTCCGGCACGAGCGAACCCTGACTGAGAATCACAATGAAAACAAGTCGATCGCTGCCGCCACAGAAGAGTGAGTGACGATGAGCAGCGCAAGATTCGCATCTCGTTGATGGCTGCGCTGAGCAGCCCGAAGATTTTTGTGATCTCGGCCGGCCGGGCTGGTGCCACTGAATCGAATGTCTACAGTCTTGACTCTTGAGTGACGGGTGCTGCATCTGCAGATCACCGTAAAGCCAAGCATAAGCCGGTTGTATGCGCCCGAAGCAGCAGCAGCGACCTGATTTGACCCTAAGCAGCAGCTGGGTCAGGCAGATCTCACACACCCTCCAGTACCTCAGACACCGACCAAAGACCTGCTGGCTACTGGCTCTCCCCTTTCGTCCGCCACATCGAATGTCGCACGCTCGCTGCTTCACCCTGTCGATTGCCCCGACACTTTGAGGATCTCACAGCCCTTCCTCCTCCTCCTCCTCTGTTGGCACTTGCACGGATATCTCTGCGCTCACATCAGTATCACTAATGGTGTGACTTGCTTGCAAGCAATTCATTTGTCCACATCCTTACAGCCAGAGCATCCGACCAGCAGCTACCCCGACTTTGCTTCCCTAAAAGCCCCGCCCGCATCCTCTATCATCGATCGTAATTAAGCGCCATCACATCCCGCAAGCATCCAGTTCACGATTGCATCGCACCGCATTCTCCACAAATCCCCGTCTAAGCCGCTTCCGCTCCGCCTCTCCGGGCAAGCGCTTGCGGTCAACACCAGCACCTATCATCCCTACAGTGCTCATTCCCAACAGGCCCGCTTCGACTTTTCCTTTCTCAACAACGTTACATCCCTCAACTTTTCGCTTCGTGCTGGTCGCAACTCATCGGCGGCCCGACTCTGCCCTCCTCATTCGGACAACTCTCTCGATTGCCTCGCCAGTCTGCCGATCTGCCGTACCCGGTGTCGAAGATTCACGACACGCAGTCCATTGGTAGCAAACGCACGAGTCTCATCAGCGCGCGGTGATCCCGGAGAAACCCCCATTGCGAGCTTTGGCGCTGTCAGAGAGCGCGCCCCAAATTTCTGGCTAGGACGTAGCGCCCCCCTCCTTCGAGCCCACTAGCCTGCTCAAGGCAAATCAGCCCGCTAGGCGCGCTCATCGGGTGAGAGCCAGGTCGGCGCCAAGGCGACGAGGAGCCTCGTAGATCGTTCCAGTCTTGGGCTATCTTGCTCTCTACACCTCCGATAGCGGCTCAGGATGGCGCAACCAGCTACAGCCGCCATCGTGGTGGCGATGATCTTCGTGGCTGCCTTTGTGCTCTTCTTCGGGTACAAGGGCTACAAGAAGTATCACTACCACAAACAGAGGAAAGCCATGCAGGCAGAACTTCCTCCTATACGCGAACCTCCTTCAAACTACTTTCTGGCTGCCGGCGCTACACCATCAGGAGGCTCGCCGCTCTCTCCTCCTTCGACCATCGGAACACTGTATGGCGATACGTGGGGTAGGAACAGCTGGCGTGGAAGCACTTCCAAAGCCAGCCTGGGTGGTAGAGGATACAGCGATATGGGAGGAAGGAGGATGAGCTCTTCTGGATTGTTGGGCAGCCCAGGTGCGGAGGCTGCCTTTGGAGGCTCTCAGACTGGTGCTGCAGCCGATGGCTCCGCGCCAGCTTCGCCACTGAGTCTTGGCGTCGACGCCGTTCTCCCAGCTGCTCCTGGAGAAGCGTACGATCATTCGAGAGGGATCAGCAGCACTAGCACTAATGCCCTCAAGAGGAGCTACGCAGGGAGCGTCTATTCTGGAGCTGGCGGTGGACCAGGCTCGGACAGGGGCGCAACGGACATGTATCTGCCCCCACGCCGACAATCCTACCTGCCACACTTACCGTCAAATCGGGAAAGCATCCAAATAGTGCCTCCTCAACCGCTGGGCTTCGGCTTGGGCGGCATGGCTCAAGCGACAGACGAAAAGACCTTGGCCTTCTCCACTGTCAGTGGTATCGGCAGCGATGGGGATGAATTCGGAAAAGGACTGGTCTGGGCTGAAGGGGAGACGAGCGGCAACGGTGGAGATGGCAACGACTTGGCAACAGCCAGCGGTAGCGGCGCAAAGGTCGCCCACGGCGACCGAGCGAGATACTTGGCAGAAGGGCCCGTCAGGACTTGGTCAGGTAGCGGGGGTGGTGCAGCTGGACCCTCCAATTGGCAAAGTCCAAGCGCCCCCCCTTCGCGAAGCCTCACCCCTGGTGCTGCGCCTTCCTGGGAAGATAGGTCCTCGGGCCATCGTGGGCCTGGCAACATGAGCGCCTCGACATCTTCTAGCTCCAGACGTGCCTCCTCTTCCCAATCCCAGAGAAGACTACCACAGCAAGCACATCCGCTTTCGGAATCTTCCTATTCCTCCCAGCACGCCTCTCCCGCGGACCCCCTTTCAACCCCGACGAACCATCAGAACGGCACATTTGCAAGCCTGCAGAGTCCTCTGCAGCTAATGTCTGATGGTCCAAACGGCGCGCACGGACGTCATGCGTCTGATGCAGATACTCTCAACACGGGACCTAGCAGTGTCGAAGGTGTAGGCGCCAACGGATCCCCGATCATTGGCGCGTTCAGAAGTGCGGGGACGGGCAACTACATTGCACGAGCGAATGAGAACATGCCCGAATTGGCGAGCGGAAGCGCGAGCGGGTCTGGCAGTCATAGCAGCCCGACAGATCCTTCGACGGACAGTTCAGGCCGGCCCAGCGCTGCTGATGAGGAAAGCATAGACAGAGGGGAACGATTTGCGGTGGGCAAGGATGGAGTGTTGAGGTTGGGCGGCCCTGCTGTGCCTGAAAAGCAGCACGAGTCAGAGGCGCGTTCGAGTGGCAGTCGAAAATCTTGGGGCTTCACCAACATATTGGGACGCGCCTGACCGTTCCGATTGGAACTCGCTACGCACGTCGCGTCGACAAAGCCAGGCACCGTTCGCAAAGTCCAGTCCGATGTCTATGGCGTCGTGGAATGGCAGCCGCCCTCGTCTCCCCTTGCGCTCATCTTGCTGAGCATCTGCGGACTGAATCTCCTTCATCTTGTAAGCCCAACTACGCTTGCCCTTTGGCAACAAGCTTGTGCGTTGCCCACATCTCACCAG